AGCCAGCTGACGATGTTACGCAGCAGCAACGAGCTACGCACAGCAGCAGCAGACATGCTACAGCAGCACAGACTGCTACGCACAAGACGATGTTACAGCAGCACAGACGATGCTACAGCAGCAGAGAGCAGACGTGCCAGCACAACAGACTGTTCGCACCGACGATGCTACGCAGCAAAAGCGATGCTACAGCAGCACAGCGACACAGCGCAACTGACGATGTTACAGCCGCAACGATGCTACAGCAGCAGCAGCGCGATCACACCAAAACGATGTTCAGCCACACTTTCTACACACACACACAAACCACACAGCACAACAAAGATGCACAGAGCAAAGCAGACGTCTACGCAGCACAGATATGCTACAGCAGCAGCAACGGTATTAAGCAGCAGAGCAATGACGGTGGTAACCAGCAGCAGTGACATGCACAGCAGCTGACTGAAAAAGCAGCAGCAGCAGCTGTACCACCAATATACGTGGTGATTGGGGGGTTTTTATACAACCTGGGCCCGCTCGGAGACATGCACTCCCCTTTCATCTTATCAAGATCTTTTTCTTATCTCCATAGTAATTTTCCCCCATTTCTGTGGGTTGGCACAGAGCTTTTTTTGGGGCCAGGGCCTTATTTTCCAAAAAAAAACCAAAAAAACTGTAAAATACAAAATGTTGATTTTTTATTTGGATGTTTCCCCGGGGCTGGTGGTAAACAATGCCACCCGGAACATGTCGTGGTAGGCCCCCCATTGGGGCGTCTCGGGCGAAAGGGGCTGAGTGGGTTTTTTTCCCCTATGCGGGCAAAAAAATTTTTGCGTCAAAAGGGCCGCTTGGGATTGTCCCTATGCAAGGCGTCCGTTATGCGGGGGGGTCCCTGTATATATATATATATATTAAATTTTAAAATTTTATAAAATTTTTTTTTAAATTTATTGTGTTTAGTTTTTTATTTAAGTTTAAAATATAATATATTTTATGGTTATATATATAAATTGGTAAAATAAAAAATGTGATTTTTTTAAAAATTTTAATAAATATAATTATAATAATATTAATATTTTTAAATTTAATTTATTATAAATTTTAATAAGGGATATAAAGTAAATTTTATTTTTTAGATAAAAATGAAATAAAGAAAAAAGAAATATAGATATTTAAGGAAAATTTTTTTTTAAATTTTGTTTATTATTATTAAAATTTATTTTTAAATTTTTTAATTAAAATTTAATTTAATTTTTATAATATTTTTTATATTAATAAATTAAATATTTTATGTTTTTTTTTTTTTTAGTAATTTTTAAAAAATTTATGTATTTTATTATAGAAATTTAAAAATATTTTTATTATAAATGTTTAAAAATATTTAAGAAAAAAAAATGATTATTTTTTTTATATTTTTGTAATTAAAATTTTAAATAATAAAATATTTTTTTAATGTTTATAAAGAAAAAAAAATAATATGAAAAATTAATTTTGTTTAAAAAATTAATGTTATTATTTTTTTTAATTTATATATTATTTTTAAAAAAATTTTTATTATTATTATATATATATATATTTATAATATATATATTATATATATATTATTTATATTATAAGAAAATTTTATATTTTATAAAAAAGTTAATTTTTATTTTTATTTTTTTATTTTTTATATTATATTTATATTATATATTTATATAAATATTTTTTTTTTTTTTATTTTTTTTTTTTTGTTTTGTGTGGGGTTTTGTGTGTGTGGTACGTTTAAGAGGGGCCAAGAAAATTCAGATCCTTTTTTGTAGCTACATTAAGATAAAAGGTAGAGGGGATAAAAGGGAAATAGAAGCATCGGGGAAGAGAGAGGTGAAGTTTATAAATAAAAGAGGAGGCAGTTAGGGTAAGTATAAACGCTTTGGAGGATAGATGGCTAAGAGAGCATGGGAAATGGGTCGAAGAGGTTGGGTGGGTTTTAAAAAATGTATGTTAAGTGTTCGCGAAGTTTTTGGTTACGGAAAGTGGGTGCGGGAGGGAAAAGGAGCGATTGGTGGAATGATGTGAAGAGAGTAGTAAGGGAGAAAAGTTAGCATATGAGAAGTTTTTACAAAGTAGAAGTGATGCAAGGAGGGAAGAGTATATGGAGAAAAAGAGAGAGGTTAAGAGAGTGGTGAAGCAATGTAAAAAGAGAGCAAATGAGAGAGTGGGTGAGATGTTATCAACAAATTTTGTTGAAAATAAGAAAAAGTTTTGGAGTGAGATTAACAAGTTAAGAAAGCCTAGAGAACAAATGGATTTGTCAGTTAAAAACAGGAGAGGAGAGTTATTAAATGGAGAGTTAGAGGTATTGGGAAGATGGAGGGAATATTTTGAGGAATTGTTAAATGTTGATGAAGATAGGGAAGCTGTGATTCGTGTATAGGGCAAGGAGGAACAAACATCTTGTAGGAGTGAGGAAGAGCCAGTTGTGAGTGTGGGGGAAGTTCGTGAGGCAGTAGGTAAAATGAAAGGGGGTAAGGCAGCCGGGATTGATGGGATAAAGATAGAAATGTTAAAAGCAGGTGGGGATATAGTTTTGGAGTGGTTGGTGCAATTATTTAATAAATGTATGGAAGAGGGTAAGGTACCTAGGGATTGGCAGAGAGCATGCATAGTTCCTTTGTATAAAGGCAAAGGGATAAAAGAGAGTGCAAAAATTTATAGGGGGATAAGTCTGTTGAGTATACCTGGCAAAGTGTATGGTAGAGTTATTATTGAAAGAATTAAGAGTAAGACGGAGAATAGGATAGCAGATGAACAAGGAGGCTTTAGGAAAGGTAGGGGGTGTGTGGACCAGGTGTTTACAGTGAAACATATAAGTGAACAGTATTTAGATAAGGCTAAAGAGGTCTTTGTGCATTTATGGATTTGGAAAAGGCGTATGACAGGGTGGATAGGGGGGCAATGTGGCAGATATTGCAGGTGTATGGTGTAGGAGGTAGGTTACTGAAAGCAGTGAAGAGTTTTTACGAGGATAGTGAGGCTCAAGTTAGAGTATGTAGGAAAGAGGGAATTATTTCCCAGTAAAAGTAGGCCTTAGACAAGGATGTGTGATGTCACCGTGGTTGTTTAATATATTATAGATGGGGTTGTAAGAGAAGTAAATGCGAGGGTCTTGGCAAGAGGCGTGGAGTTAAAAGATAAAGAATCACACATAAAGTGGGAGTTGTCACAGTTACTCTTTGCTGATGACACTGTGCTCTTGGGAGATTCTGAAGAGAAGTTGCAGAGATTGGTGGATGAATTTGGTAGGGTGTGCAAAAGAAGAAAATTGAAAGTGAATACAGGAAAGAGTAAGGTTATGAGGATAACAAAAAGATTAGGTGATGAAAGATTGGATATCAGATTGGAGGGAGAGAGTATGGAGGAGGTGAATGTATTCAGATATTGGGAGTGGACATGTCAGCGGATGGGTCTATGAAAGATGAGGTGAATCATAGAATTGATGAGGGGAAAAGGGTGAGTGGTGCACTTAGGAGTCTGTGGAGACAAAGAACTTTGTCCTTGGAGGCAAAGAGGGGAATGTATGAGAGTATAGTTTTACCAACGCTCTTCATATGGGTGTGAAGCATGGGTGATGAATGTTGCAGTGAGGAGAAAGGCTGGAGGCAGTGGAGATGTCATGTCTGAGAGCAATGTGTGTTGTGAATATAATGCAGAGAATTCGTAGTTTGGAAGTTAGGAGGAGGTGCGGGATTACCAAAACTTTTTGTCCAGAGGGCTGGGAATGGATTGTTGAGGTGGTTCGGACATGTGGAGAGAATGGAGCGAAACAGAATAACTTCAAGAGTGTATCAGTCTGTAGTGGAAGGAAGGCAGGGAGGGGTCGCCTAGGAAAGGTTGGAGGGAGGGGGTAAAGGAGGTTTTGTGTGCGAGGGCTTGGACTTCCAGCAGGCATGCGTGAGCGTGTTTGATAGGAGTGAATGGAGACAAATGGTTTTTAATACTTGACGTGCTGTTGGAGTGTGAGCAAAGTAACATTTATGAAGGGGTTCAGGGAAACCGGCAGGCCGGACTTGAGTCCTGGAGATGGGAAGTACAGTGCCTGCACTCTGAAGGAGGGGTGTTAATGTTGCAGTTTAAAAACTGTAGTGTAAAGCACCCTTCTGGCAAGACAGTGATGGAGTGAATGATGGTGAAAGTTTTTCTTTTTCGGGCCACCCTGCCTTGGTGGGAATCGGCCAGTGTGATAATAATAAATAAAATATATATATGTATGTATGTATGCATGTTAATAATTTTGGCTGTCTTAAAACATATTAATTGGATTTCCTTTATTTCTTGGGGGGGGGGGAATTAATTCGGCTAAAGGCAAAATTGGTTAAAGGCATGCTCTCTGGAACAGATTAATGCCTTTACCCAAGGGTTCATTGTATATTGTTTATTACAAGTATGTCATATTAAATGAATTGTAATAGATAAATAAGCTGTAAAGTTGATATTAGTGTCATATTGATGTGTATTTTGTCATGCCTCCTGAGAGCAGGAATTCCCCTGGAACAGTTTTTCAGTTAATTTAAATGAGGAAAATTGACTCGGCATATGAACAAATCGGGACATGAACTAGGTTGCGGAACGGATTAAATTCGTAAGCCGAGGTTCCACTGCATATTTAAAGGACATTTTATTTTGTTGTGTATTTTTTTGCAATATATCTTATTATTATTAATAAAAATATATAATAGAAGTCTCACTTTTTTTTGCTCAACTGTGGCTTTTTTTTTTTTATCCTAGTCGAGGGTGAAAACTTTATATTTTATTACAAAACCATGTCAGTATCAAAGATCATTAGATGGTCTTTATAAAGGATATCAACAATTTTCAGAAAATTATTTCATATAGTAAAATTTTTTCAACTTTATACAAAAAATTTTTTTTTTTTTTTTTACCCCACTTTATTACAAGAGCTGTGAATGATGGTCATAGTGAAAGTGCTCTTCAGATTTAAAATTACATACCTAGTTTTAATGTGTTTCTTCTCATTACAGGAAAGAATTTGTACAACAATGAGCATGTCGCTATCAAAATTGGTAAGTAATCTTTAGTACTTTTAACTATTACAGTGGACCCCGTAAAAGATTACCTCGAATGCAAAAGAAATTATTAAGTGTATTTTTAGCATTTTTACGTGTATGTTTGGGGGTCTGAAATGGACTAATTACTTCACAATATTCCTTAATGGGATAAATTCGGTCATTACTGGAAAGAACTTGAACATACTTATGGAGTGAAAAATTGGTTAACGACTGGGGTCCATCTGTAATTAATATTATTATTCTGTAACTTTGCTGTATTTAACCCTCTCTTAGGTAGTTCTCTTGCGCATTTTTTTAAACAGAGTGGGCAAACGTCATACATGCCTGTTTGACAGATTGTTCATGTGAAATTTGCTTGAGAGTTAAAACACAAAAATAGTCAGGTTTTTAATTTCCAACTGAATTAATAAAAAAAATGTTCTACATTTAAAGTATTGTTGGGTTACCTCATAACAGAGAAGTAGAGTTTATTCTTTGGACTCCAAAGAATAATTTGAACACAGTCCAAAAAAGACACTTGGGATATGTTAAAAAATGCATATATAAAATTGTGTTATGTAAAGTGAAGTGTATAGGAAAAATGGGGTTACGTTCCGGACACCTTCAAATCTGTAAATAAAATTTTTTTTATTAGTTTAACCCTTGAACTGTCCAAACAGATCTACGTTTACATGCGTAGTGCTCCAAAAGTAGATCTACGTTTTTTTACATATTTTCAAATATAACATAAAAAAATGTAGATCAAAGTTTTTTTACACATTTTCAAATGTAAAAAAAAAAAAGTCTACATTTTTTTTACGTACTTTCAAATGTTGAAAAAACATAGATCTACGTTTGGACAGTTTGAGGGTTAAAATGAACTACAGTATTAACAGGTTCTCCAGTGAGCAGTGGAAAACAACAAAGACATTCAGTGGTGATCGTTCCAGATGCTTAGGTATGGAAAGAAAGAAGAACTCGTAAGGAACACTATACAAAACTTGAGAGGATCATCAAATAGACCGAAAGGAACACAGGAAAGACTTGAATAATTATCTGTTGACCTTTCTTTTAAAAAATACAGTAAGACAAAGGTCACAACAGCCAGGAGGATGACAAGGTGGATAATGAGAACTTTCAAAACAAGGAAATAATGTCATTGGTGACACTTTTAAAATCACTTGTGCTCTCTCATTTGTAATACTGCTCAATGTTGACAGCCCTGTTCAGCAGCAACAGCCTGGTTGACCAGGCAAGCACCAGATGAGCCTGGCCCATGGCCGGGCTCAGAGAGTAGATATACTCTCGAAATTCTTCAAAGGTATATACAGTGGTCCCTCAATAATCATCCGGCCTGAAAGTCATTCATTTTGGAAATATTGTAGTCCCATTATTTTGTCTAAACATTGGCTCGCAAATGGTCCGTTAACTTGCTAATCATCCTTCGTCCGGGATGGGTGCTCATGCTCTGAGCTGCCTGGGCCTGCCTTCCCAGCCAGTGTGCCATTGTTTACCAGTGAGCGACGGTCCCCTCACATGCTCCTACAAAATATTTCATAATATTCCATTGATTTTAGTGCTTGTGAGTGCTAAATAAGCTACCATGGCACCAAAGAAAGCTTCTAGTGCCAGCCCTTGGGTAAAGAATGTGAGAAACATATAATTTATGAAAAAGTTTGTAGAAAAATACAAAGGTGGTGGTGGTAGAGTGGAAGCAGTTGTGATAGTGGTTGATGGTGGTAGAAGGTAGTAGAAGGTAGTAGTGATGGTGGTAACAGTTGTAATAGTGGTAGGTCATAGTGATGGTGGTAGAGGGTTCCTTCTTCAGTGATTCAGCAATTCTACCACTCCTCCAATGTTGGAGTTACATAGGGCTACAGAAAACACCACTGCCTCAGCTGCTGCTTCACCACCATTATGGACAGCTTACTCTCAGTGGCCCTTATATACCCAACAACAACACAACACAACACCTCTCATGACATACAATCATACATAATGACTTATTTTATTCATTCTAGAGTATGTTCCATGTTTCTATGTTATTAATATTGTTTATTATGCAGTAATGGATTTAAATTAGATAAGTTTAGATTTAGAAAGGACATAGGAAAGTATTGGTTTGGAAATAGGGTAGTTGATGAGTGGAACAGTCTACCTAGTTGGGTTATTGAGGCTGGGACTTTGGGTAGTTTCAAATTTAGGTTGGATAAGTACATGAGTGGGAGGGGTTGGATTTGAGTGGGACTTTCACATCAGAGCTTATTTCTTGGGTGGCATTGAAAATTGGGTTGGGCAAATGTTTTGTTAGTGGGATGAATTGTAAAGGACCTGCCTAGTATGGGCCAACAGGCCTCCTGCAGTGTGCCTCTTTTCTTATGTTCTTATGTTCTTAATTGTGATAGATAAATAAGCTGTAGAGTTGATATTAGTGTCCTATTCTCCAACAATAAACTTGCCATCCCTCCCTTACACAAACAAGTCTCCAATAAGAACATAAGAAAGGAGGAACACTGCAGTAGGCCTGCTGGCCCATACTAGGCCGGTCCTTCACAAATCCAACCCACTAACAGAACAAATGCTACCCAAGCAATAAGCTCAGGTGCAAGACCGACTCAAATCCAACCAGAACTAGAGATTATTTCATTGGGTAGCATTAAAAATTGGGTTGGGCAAATGTTTTGTTAGTGGGATGGATTGTAAAGGACGTGAATACAAATAGAGAACGTGAATACAAAAAAAAAATTCTTGAATATTGATAAGTTGATACTGTAATTATTCATCTATACAGGTTATTTACATTTAACCCCAACTCTGGTAGGGTGAGATTGACATATGCAGAATGGGTGTTTACCTGGAGAGAGTTCCGGGGGTCAACGCCCCTGCGGCCTGGTCTGTGACCAGGCCTCCTGGTGGATCAGAGCCTGATCAACCAGGCTGTTGCTGCTGGCTGCACGCAAACCAACATACAAGCCACAGCCCGGCTGGTCAGGAACCGACTTTAGGTGCTTGTCCAGTGCCAGCTTGAAGACTGCCAGGGGTCTGTTGGTAATCCCCCTTATGTATGCTGGGAGGCAGTTGAACAGTCTCGGGCCCCTGACACTTATTGTATGGTCTCTTAACGTGCTAGTGACACCCCTGCTTTTCATTGGGGGGATGTTGCATCGTCTGCCAAGTCTTTTGCTTTCGTAGTGAGTGATTTTCGTGTGCAAGTTCGGTACTAGTCCCTCTAGGATTTTCCAGGTGTATATAATCATGTATCTCTCCCGCCTGCATTCCAGGGAATACAGGTTCAGGAACCTCAAGCGCTCCCAGTAATTGAGGTGTTTTATCTCCGTTATGTGCGCCGTGAAGGTTCTCTGTACATTTTCTAGGTCAGCAATTTCACCTGCAGCACGCAGTGCATAATGAGGAAAAAAAATCCGACCATGTTTCTGGATTAAAACGCCAAATTAGAGGTGTATTTTCAATAAATTATTCATGGTTGTATTCGCATTTTCCCGGTTTCACCTGATAGAATGGAAGATATATTACAGAAATAGAGATGATTTTGATTGGTTTCACGATAAAAAGTACCTTGAAACTGAGCTCAAAGTAGCTGACATGTTCGACTTTTGCCGATGTTCAAAAGTAAACAAATGATGTCATCATCCAACACATGTCCAACTGGCCAGTCCAATATGCGGACATTATTTATACAATTAGTATATATAATAATGCAGTAGTCTGCGTAACAGTAAATCTTCTATTTTTTTGTGTGAATAAAAATTCAAAATGGAAGGCAAGAGTAATATAAGAGGGGCCTGGAGACAAGACTAATGAACAGAGAAAATGTTAATTTAGTGCCAGGAACGTCTGCATTGTTTATTCAGGACCCTATTTTGAAACTGGCATCTTTTGAATTCTGCATGAAATTGGCCAAATCGCCAACTTCTGACCACTCTATCTAGTAGTTGAAATCAGTAAATGGGTGGTTTCTGTTACTCAATCGATGGAACAAATGGAGTTCTAAAGAAATAGCTATGAGTTTGGTTGGCTGGAACAATGGAATTAGCCGAAAATTGGGCTGAAAGTAGGCGAAATCACCAATGCGTATACATTGCCAAGGCCGCTATCCTCGCAAGAGCGTAATTCCCTAAGTTTTCCATCAAATTTCGCACTACTGGTGTAATTACCATCAGGAAAAGATTCTCTATCACTTCATGAGAAATTTTTTTTTTAAATTCTTCGACACAGTGCTCAGGATCAGGAAAGGGTTAAGTAATTTCAAGCTCTTGAAGGGTGGTGGAGTGTGTTGTCTGGTGCAGGAGTTTTTGATCATCCTCACAGCAGCTTTTTGTTGTATTATTGAAGGTTTAAGGTGATTGGCTGTAGTAGATCCCCAAGCACAAATATTATAGGTGAGGTAAGGGTATAATAGAGTGACAAAGTAACGAGTGCCATATAGGGTACAGTAAGGCCCCGCTTTATGGTGTTTCGCTTTACGGTGTTTCGCCTTACGGCGTTCCACTAATACGGCGATGTCAAATTATGACCAAAATTTGCTATACAGCAAGCGGTCTTTCAAATATGGTGCCCCCCACCCAGTTTGTTTACATTTTCCGTGACCACATCTATTATGTCAGGAAACTTTCCAAAATTTCAAGTGTTTTAAAGTTACTACTGCATATTTTATATGTACTCTGATAATTATACTTATGTGTACCTTTACCTAAATATACTTACACACTGTGCTGGTGTACAGGTACACATTAAAATCGCTAAGTCTCTCTCTACTCATGACGCCAATACTGTACTACGTAATAATAATCACTCTTGGGCACACTAAATGTTTTATTTTACATCAATATAGGCATTTTCATTAATCCATCTATGATTTTTCCCTCAAATAATTATAAAACCCCTTTACTGCATATAAAATGTACTACACTACAAAATAAAAAACTGATGTAAATATGAGATTTTTTACAAAGCAGCGTGTAGGTAGTGTCGGAAAAAAAAATACGTTTTCTCTGTCAAACTG